AACGTGATGGTCTCTGCTCCAAAGAGCTTAATCTCATCCTAACCTTGGGTGTTTAAACATTGAGAGTTACCTTCCCTGAGGCTATTAAAAAAGCAGGGATGTTAGGGAAACCTTGTCCAGTCACCAGTGAGTCAAATTCTGGGCACTGGAACAGAAAGGAAGCCTGATCCTGGTGGTTGTAGCCTAGAGGTTTAGCTGGAGAATGTGCTGTAGAAGTGGCTTGGAAAAGCATGTCGGTGGCAGCTCATTAGGAGTTTTATATGAGAGACCTAAAATGTACACAGATAATTTCTGGTTGAATGCAGATTAGAATCCTGTCACCCCAAATACTGTCCGTTTTTGAGATAAAAGTACAATTTAAAAGAACTAGCTGGTCAAGTATTTTGCCCATCAACAGTGTTTTCAGGATCCCTAAATTCTATATAATTCCAAATAATCTCAATTTAAAAATAAAACTAATTATAAAATATTAAAAAATCCTCAAACCAGCAGCTATTCTCGCTTTAAGACACTTAGTAGAATAGCATCCCAAACTGCAGACCTGGAGGAATTCCATCATTGTAAACACAAATGTATTTGCCAGCAAAGACAGACTGAGAGAAGGATTTGTTGTATGCTGGACTCAATAAAGTGTCTTCTTCCTTAAATTTCTGAAGAGAAACAAGACTAGGCAGCCAGTAGTTCACTTGCACGGCAAAGGCAGGTTGGAGCAGGTTTTAAAAAGTTATTTAGGCACCTAATAGATGCTTACCTGTATCTTTGGGATTTTCAAAAGAACTTAGGCATTAAAACTAACAGGAGTTAGGAGCCTGGGATCTAGAAGGATTCTGTATTTGAATGGCATTACTATGGGACCATGTATTTTTGAAACTCCCACTAGACACCTATCTGTTTCTTTAGATACCAAAATACCATTAAAATCTGGCATGCTGTCCTTTTGATTTGTTTGTTCTTCAGAGCAGGGACGTAAGATGATGCTCTGACACTTCTGATGCAACGAAAAGGGAAAACGTGGCTAGTAGGGCTGTAACCGCTAAAGAGAGGAGAAGACAAGGTGAGAGGGAGAGAACTGCGGAAGGGTCCGTTCCTTCTGCTAGTTTAAACAGGGAGGATGACGTAGGTAACAAGACTGTGCTGGGTGCACACGGCCATAAAGCAAACACTGAGGAAAATAGTGAGATAATAAGCAACGTATTATGGATTAAATACAATGGGTTCTTTAAAGGCAAAGTACTATGGTGCAAATGTCACCGTGCAACATCAACATTTAACTCCTCACCAGGCTGTGCCAATGAATGAGGAAAAGGTTTAACTGACCACGCTTTTGCCAGAATCTCATGCCACTGTGGCGGAAGTGCGTGAAAATGTTCCTGAGCACGTACACTTATGTGTACACATGTATGCGGGCTGACTAACTTTTCTTTTTTTATTACTGCCACCTGCATGCACACAGGGTTTATAACTATCTCTTTTCCTAAGCAAAGAAGGGCGAGACTTCTCATTTCTGTTATCAGACAAGCTACCTCAAACTCCAAACAGCCCCTTTTCTGTGTTTAGACAGTTGCAGGAAAAGGGAAAGAAAACAGAAATAAAGGAATGACGTGAGTGTCTACGCACAACCGATGGCTTTCATTTGACCAGATAATTTTTAATCTCCGATAACATGATTTTATATTGAGTCTCCTGGTTTTTTTGGTTTGTTTGGGGGTTTTTTCAGTATCTTTTGTTTCTGCTTCAAGTCACTAAGTAAATTTCAGGGGTCTGATGTTAGCTTCAGGAACCCAGCATTTATGTTACACTGCCCCTTATATAGTGCTGTGAAGCATAATCACAGTGTCTTTGTCTCACTCCTTCTCCATCAGAGCGGGGGCAGAGGGGGGGAACCAAGTGGAAAATGCAATACAGAGTGTCCTAAAATAAATGACTTAGACACAAGCAGTGCCGGGGCCCACTCAGAACACACCAGTAGAGAGAGACGATCGTGCTGTATTGTGCCTGTTGACAAAGACCAGCTTCAGTCTCAGAGTTATCAGGCAGTTTTGCATCAGTTCTTTTTTAACTTCTGCCTCCCTGCCCATTTCCTTCATCACTGCTCTAGGATAAAGGAGCTATTGTACTGAACTTTCAAGGAAGAAAACTATTGAAGCACTGTAGGTAACAAGTCTATCTGTAAGAAACTGGGTTTTATTGGGGCTATTTCTTCTGAGACACTAAAAAGAATCATTTGGCTCCCATGGACTTTAAGGCCAGATGGGACCATTATGACCATCTAGTCTCAAACTGTGGGTCAGGACCCCAAAGTGGGTCGTGACCCCATTTTAATAGGGTCGCTAGGGCTGGCATTAGATTGCTGGGCCTGGGGCCTGAAGCCGAAGCCCTAGCCTCACCGCTCAGGGCCAAAGCTGAAGCCCAAGCCACATCACCGGGGGCTTCAGCCCAGAGCAGCGGGGCTTGGGCTTTGGCCTCCTCACCCGGGGTGTTGGGGCTCAGGCGGGCTCAGGCTTCACTCCCTCCTCCTGGGGTCGTGTAGTAATTTTTGTGGTTAGAAGGGGGTTGCGATGCAATGAAGTTTGAGAACCCCTGGTCTAGTCTGACTTCCTGTACATTGCAGGCCACAGAATCTCACCCACCATTCCTGTACCAGACCCCTAACCTCTGACTGAGTTACTAGAGGGATTGGAGCTCAGTATGTGGTAAACTTGTTATGAAAAGAAGGTGAGGTAGTGCTGCAAGCTATGTAGGTACAGGAGACAACACTTACAGACCTGAGGTGGTTTGAGTATACTACGGTTTTCTGCCACCAGTATCTCAAAGTCAGACCTTCTGCCTCAGGGGAGGTTTTCTGCTTGCCTTCCCGAGTGAGGGACAGACAGTGAGTGCAGCAATCACAGCTTCTGGTATGTATGGGTGCATATAAACACACAGGCAGGCATATGGACACCTAGGTGCGTATTCACCTAGGGAAAGAATTGTAAAATGGCCTAAAGGCCAACAAAGAAGGGTTTTGTAAATGCTTTTCCGTCCCTTAGTTGGACTGGCTGCTGTCCTGAGGTGTAAGCTGCTGTGTGGAGGGAGGGCTCCCTTGGCTCAGAGAGCTGGTAACAAAAGGGAGAGACGGTGTGCATAGGCTTCACAGCACCAGCCCACTGCCCTGCTTTTCTACCTCTCTCACTTTATGCCACAAAAATAATAAATGTGATATTTAAAAAGAGACTCTTCCGCCCCTGCCCCCGGTGAAGTGGTAGCAGCCAAAATAATTAGAAGTCTTGTTAGCTGAAATTAAGGCATTTTCCTACCATAGTTTGGGAGCGTTGTTTTTTTTTATTATTATTATTATTATTTTTTACTGCTAATGAAAGTGAGGGTCTCCTAGCACCAGCCTCAGCCAAGCCTAGTAAGGGAAGGTCTTCAGTCCTAAGTACCCTGCCATTCCATTCCTGTGCATCTTTGGAGCAGTCATGCTACAGTATGCCAATTTGTCTGGAGGTTATGTGATGTGGAAAATCTTTGGTCTGCAGAGGAGAAAGGCAAGTGTATTATTTCAATGTTCCACTGAGCTGTCCCAGCCCTTTGTCTCGCCTGAAAGGTCTACGTTTCAGAGACTACTCTGGACTGTAGGAGGTGTGTGCATTTTGTGTGGTGTGTGTGACCAGTTGCTGAGATGGCAGGGATAAAAACTGGAAACAAACTCTCTTTAATGGCAATATTATGGTATATAAAAAGGTGGATTACAGGTTTGGTGTTTTTAGTTTACCTCCTGCTTTTTCCTATTGGCATGTTGGGCCAAATTCACTGCAGGCACAACACCCATTGACTTCAATGGGAGAGGCAGGTGGTCAGCTCATAGGATGATCAGGCCCCCATCTCACTCTGGCACGTAAGATGTTGATGTGCTCCATGAATGGATCCCAAATGGGGATTCAAATGTAGGGTCCAATCCTGTGAGGTAACTGAGCACCCTTAACAATGAAGGGCCTGTGTCCCAGACCTATAATAAAAGTAACTCCATGTCAAAATAATGGGAGCTATTCCTGTCCTGCAACACACACTTCATTAGGCCCTAGGTGTGGAGGGCATTTAGCACCTTGCAGGGCTGAGCTCTTTGAGGGTCTAGTAGAAAATCTGTGGCTCAGATAAGTCAGATCTTGGTGGTAGTTTCCAGAGGAGGGTGTAATGCACAATGATGAAAGCCATCCACTGGGGAAAGGGAGGGAGACACTGAAAGGAGAAATAAGGAGAGTTTCAAACCAAGGATGAGAAAGCGCTCTAGTGCTTTACCCTGTGTGAATAAAATACCTCATTGTTCTCCGCTGAGTTGGTTCAACAGCAACATATTTCTGTGTTTGATGTTTTCAGCTGGACATGTGATTTAAAAAAAAAACTCCTCCACTTTCTGGTTAAATTGTAATGCCCTGTAAATGTAACTATATTCCTGGAAGAGCAATAAACCACATCTCTACATCATCTAAGTGAACTGGAGGAAGTGGGGGTTTTTGTTGTTGTTTTTGCTTCTCAGACTGTGATAAGGAAACTTGGGAAATCTGGCCTAAAATTTAAATGCCTAAATAAGGAGCCAAATCGTCCCTTTTAATTTTTGATCTGGAAGGGGTAAAAGTAGCCGAAAGGCCACTAAAATGGCATCAAAGCCTGTCAGATGCGAAGGAAGGGGAGTTCAACTAACATGGAGACAGCTCTTCCTCTCACCACATAGCATGCCCTCTGCATGGATTCTATGCAATTGGGAATCTGCAGGTCATGGCTGGGTAAAAAAGTGACATAGTGAGGGTAATGCTGTTTTGTGTGTCATCAAGGAAAATAACAACGAGTTAATGCTGACCCCAATACCGTTAACATCTGTGGGCTCCTGATCTGTGTTTTCAAACCTTCTTAGATATGGGGTAGAAGCCAGGCTTAGCTGTTGATGGTATAATTCAAGATGAAACAGTGCTTTCAGGTGGAGAGAAGAGCCCACACCATCTATGTAAATGTGAATTTCTCACCACATTTTCCTGTAGCGCTCTGGAAAATCAGCAACATTGGAGAAACATGTCTCTGCTCACTCTGGGGGAAGGCAAACTGAAGCTCTTGTCCTGACTCCAACACCAAGCCATTTTTTGGGAAACTCCGTCAATGTTAATAACTCAAAGTTTTCTACATATCTTTTCCCTACCCGTTGTTTTTTCCCAAAGGGCGGTGATCTAGCACTATGATTTTAAAAGGGCTTTTCAAATCTGCCCAGTGACCGGTATGCATTCCGCAACATCAACAAAAGAACAAAAAACAAAAACAGAACCACACCAAGCAAACCATACAGCATAAGTGATCTCACTCTGACTAAGTCCCACAGCCGTAAAAAATAGAAGTATGTGGAAAACGTAAACTCTTTCCCTCAGGCAGTCAATTACTTCCTTAGTTAAAGGACACTGGATGTTGCATGTTTATGGGTAAAATGAGTAGAGCAGAAAAACAATGTGAGAGAGAAGAAAAACCCAACCCTGAAATCTGGTTTAAGTTTTGAAACTTTCCACTTGCAGGCATTTGCAATAAGTCTTTTCCCAGATAGACTTACACTTTCTCTGTACAACTTGTTAGGGAAAACCATTACAACATGGTGGACACTAAATTGGTTATAACACTCATTTTGAAGTGAAGGCCAAACATTAACTGGGTGGTTCATTATGTCCAAGTCTTTAGTGCAGTTTGGGGACCTTTTTATATTGCAAATGTGGTGTCACAAGGGTGGGAGACAACTGTTTTAAATGTGATTCTCCAACACATTTGTACTGTAGATGAGGCCTAATATTGCTTGAACAATAAAGCACTCAGCTATTACTATGGTTGTGAGGACCATATAAATGCCTAAATAGACAGACAGACAGACAGAAGGCACATGCACACATAATGTAATATAAACAAAAATATAAGGAGGCCCAGGCCTTCTCTCAGTTACAACAGTACAACCTCACTGAATTCAGTAGCATAGCACCAATATAACTGAGAGTAGAGTTAAGCCAAATTAATGATACACAAATTAATACAGTGCATCAACACACAGAAAAATCCACTAGAAGATCTCTTCTTGGCAAGTGCAATAGTACCTTAAAAATCCTAGGCAACTGATTGGTTATCACCGGCATTTTAACTCAATGTAAACTTACTAAGAAAAGTCACACAAACCCAACTATTGCAAAGTACATGTCAGACAGGCAAAGGATACATTTTGTTGTTTTAGCTTCTGGATAAAGAGTTGTGCATTGAAGGGGGTTTCTGAATTTTCATGGTCTGTTTTCCTTACTGAGCAAGATGACATTCATTGGGAAACAAGATTTATTCCCAGGCCACTTTGACATTCCCCAGGACTCATTGTCTCCACATGATTCACAGGGTTGTTCCCGCTGAAATTTCAACCTCTCAGTGAATGGGGCATGTTTAAGAAAAGGCCTCTGATGGGCTGATTGCATTCCTGTAGAGTAAATCCATTATTACTGCTTTTCCTTTTCAGGGCAGGCTAATCCAGCCTGACTATGAATGAACTGGTTTTAAAATAAATACATAAATAAAAAGGCAGGCGTGGGTTCCAGTCCTAGAGAAGGGAAAAATATACAATTTTTGTCATCCTGTACAACTGTTTCTGGGACTCTGAACTGCAGCTTTAGCTGTCCCATTTCCTGACAAATACAAGGCACACCCAAAAGTGCACTAGGGAAAAACTAACTCCTTAAAAATGAGGGTAATTTCCACTACTATTGAAGTCTAGACAAAGGGGAAAAAAGCAAAGGGCCATTCTGCAAGAGCAGCCTGTGATAGGCAGCAATATTCAAGAGTCAAATTCTCTGCTAGTGTAAATTGGTCCAACTCCATTGACATTCATGGAGCTTCATCAGTTTACACCAGGAGAGAATTTAGCCTAATATCTCTAAATCCAGCTTTAATTAGCAATAGCAGAAATTATGTTTAAGGTATATATTATTCACCACTGTTTGCTTTGCTGTACACACACTGACGCCTCCATAGTATGTCTGTGTGATAATTCCTACTGAAGACCTAATATAAAGCATCTTGTAATCACAGAAAGAAACCCATCCATCAGATAAAAAATTTCAAAAGTGCCTAAGTGACTTAGGGTGAAATTTTAGAAGTGACTTAGTCATCCCATGGAAAACCAATGGGATTAAAACCCCTAAGTACTTAAGTCACCTTGAAAATGTGACTTAGGCTCCTAAATTGCTTTGGAAAAAATTACCTGGCATCAGTTTTGTTAAAGGGTTGTTTTAATGGCCCTAAACCAGCTAGTAATAGTGATATTATGGTAATCATAAGATACTGTGGTTTGATTATGTCACGGAGGTCGCAGAAGTCACGGAGTCCATGACTCCGTGACATTGGGGACCATGCCGGCAGCAGCCCAGCCTCCACGGGTGGCAGGGGACCCCTCCCAGCCACTGGGCAATGGGGTTCCTGCAGCTCCCAGCCACTGCTGGACCCTCCTCCTTCCCCATTTTGTCAGGGATGTTTTTAGTAAAAGTCAGGGACAGGTCATGGCTTCCATGAATTTTTGTTTATTGCCCATGACCTGTCCCTGACTTTTACTAAAAATATCCATGACAAAATCGTAGCCTTAGTCAGGCTGAAAGGTGAATTGTCAGGTTGGAGGGAGGTTACTAGTGGAGTTCCTCAGGGATCGGTCTTGGGACCAATCTTATTTAACATTTTCAATAATGACCTTGGCACAAAAAGTGGGAAAGTGCTAATAAAATTTGTGGGTGACACAAAGTTGGATGGTATTGCTAATATGGAGGAAGACTAGAATATCATGAAAGAAGATTTGGATGACCTTGAAAACTGGAGTGATAGAAAAGGGATTACGTTTATTAGTGCAAACTGCAAGGTCACGTACTCTGGGACTAACAACAATTTTTTTTTCTATAAGCTGGGGACATAGTTAAAACAACAGATGAGGAGAATGACTGACCAATACACTCAGGTCTCAGGATGACCAATATGATGGGGCCTTGAAAAAGGCTAATGCAGTCCTAGGATGCATCAGGCGAGGTATTTCCAGTAGAGATAGGGAAGTGTTATTAGTATTATATAAGGCACTGTGAGACCTCCTTTGGAATAGTGTGTGCAATTCTGGCCTCCCAGGTCTAAGAAATTTGAATTCAAACTGGAACAGGTGCAGAGAAGGGCTGTTAGGATGATCATAGGAATGGAAAACCTACCTTATGAGAGGAAACTTAAGAAGCGTGGCTTGTTTAGCCTAACCAAACAAAGGCTGAAGGGAAATATGATTGCTCTCTATAAATACATCAGAAGGATAAACACAAGGGAGGGAGAGAAGTTATTTAAGATAAAGGACAATGTTGGCACAAGAACAAATGGATATAAACTGGCCATCAACAAGTTTAGGCTTGAAACTAGATAAAGGTTTCTAACCATCAGAGGAGTGACATTCTGGAACAGCCTCCTAAGTCTGTTCCTAAATCTAACTAGTTTCAAGAATGAACTTGATAAGTTTATGGAGGGGGTGGTATGATGAGGTTTCCTACAATAGCATGTGGCCCATCTGCAACTATTAGTAGCAAATATATCCAGTGGCTAGCAGTGGGACACTAGATAGGGAGGGCTCTAAGTTACAACAGTGAATTCTTTCCCAAGTGTGTGTCTGGTGGGTCTTGCCCATGTGCTCAGGGTCTAACTGATCACCATATTTGGGGCTGAGAAGGAAAGTCCGTCCGTCTCCCCCCCGCCCCCCCCCCGCCCCTGGTTGGATTAGCAGAGACCCTGGGGAGTTTGTGTCATCTTCTACAGCGTGAGGCATGGGTCACTTGCTGGTTTGAACTAGAATCTCGGTAACTTGAAGTCTTTAAATCATGATTTGAGGTAGGGTGACCAGACAGCAAATGTGAAAAATTGGGACAGGGGGTGGTGGGTAATAGGAGCCTATATAAGAAAAAGACCCCAAAATTGGGACTGTCCCTATAAAATCGGGACATCTGGTCACCTGCGATGTGCAGGAGGTTAGACTAGATGATCACGATGGTTGCTTTTAGCCTTAAAGTCTATGGAGTCTACGATTGTAGAGGCGACAGATTGCTGCACCCACTTACAAGTGTCTGTGACTCAGGAGAACTTTTGACTGAGTCAGAATTCTTTCTGAGGACTCCAGTCGCAGCAGGCCTCAAAGTATTGACTCCAGAGTGTGGAAGTTCACTGTAATGTAAGCCTCTCCCCAGTAAACACACAGAAAGAGTTCAATGGTCAGTGATAAAATGCTACAATCCAGGAATAGGGCACAGTGATCGACGATGATAACCAGATTTATCAGTAATGTTTTCACCAGCATCAGGTTTTGTGCAGTTAGCAGAAAAATTTCCTCCTCTGTCTGTCTGGGCTATCCTAAAGCCATCTTCAGAACATGTTTCCTAGGACAACTTCACAGGCTATTACTGCTGCTACCACCACACCAGTAATGGATCATAAAAGCCACCTCTGGCATGTAAACCCATGTTCAGGTCTTCTGAAGGTACAGCATCATCATATCAGTTGAGGTGTTATTAATAGAGGCAAACTGCCTTAGACTAACTACGAACCTGAATTTTCACTAACAATGTGATCTGAATCTTTATAGAGATCTCAAAAAGTGTGGTTAAAATCCATTTTACATACAATTTTCCCAGGACTCTACAACTCATGGACTCAAGTGACAACAGAAGTAACAAAATACCACAAGTAAGACTGTTCTCGTGGTATTTCTAATGACCCAGCCCACACCAGGAACTACTAGGCTTTTTCTTTTTCTTTTTTTTAATCTTAGATAATCTAGCCAAATTTCCAGATTAAATAGGTTCAGATACATTTCTCATAAACACCTGAACTTTTGCATCCTTATGCAGAGAGCCTACAAACCATTTAAACAATTGCCCATCATTAGCTAGTTCTTTGACATAACTTTATAGTAGGTTAGTGTAGGGTTGGATGACCCAGTAGGTAGGGGACTAGCTTAGTACTTGAGAGACCTGGTTACAGTTCTCTGCTCCACCACAGATTTCCTCTGTGACCTTAGATAAGTTGCTTAGCGCCTCTGTGCCTCAGTTTCCCATCTGTAAAATGGGTGTTGTGAGTGAAGTGCTTAGACACTATGGTGATGGGGACCATATAAGTACCTAAAATAGACAGTTGATAAGCAAGACCATGCTATACTGTCCTCCTCATAGGCTAACAGAAGAGAGAGAACTGAATTTATAACTATGGTCTCTGATACATTCTGCCCTTGGTGGGGAATAGCTTTCAGCAGAAGTGACCAGCAATCTTGTCCCAAGTCCTGCAGACTCTGAAGGTGCATGGAGACAAGAGCCACCTGCCCAGTACCTATCTAATGGCTACTAACCCCTTTGGTCTTCTCTAAGCCATTGGCAGTATGTCAATGCCACCATTGGCTTGTTCATTGCCACTGCTTTTTATGCGTGATGTCAAGGATAACCGCTGCTTTCCAATCATAACCCACTTGTCCTACATTATGGTGCACAAACCCTTCAAAGCATGTAGACAGAGAGGTATTTCCATGGTCGCTGAGACTGCACTCTTTTCTTTCACATTCATCCACCATACATCCATTTGTATTGCCCCTCTCCACTGACATGAGGGTCAGTATGGTTCTTGTCATCCCTGAGGTAAAACTCCCATTAAATGTAATGGGAATCTTTTTTCAGTAAAGGCTGCAGGATTAGTCCCATGGCCCAATATGAATTAAAACATATATGTGTATTACTGAATTGTATTAATATGAGGAGTAATGCACTTTAAATTCTTAAAGAGAACATTTTAAAGGGAGGCAGGCTAAAAACTGTACCAGACTTGCAAAGATTGTTGTCAATGGTAATGTCTTCTAGAAGTGTGTGTCACTTGCATTTGTTCAGTTTGGTAGTGCTAAATTGGCTTCTAATAAGAAAATCTTTCCTGTCAACAGTACTGATTTCCAGACTGCTAAACATCAGCAAGAAAAATCTGTTACAAGTTTATCATGTTCCTTTTTTGATGATGATGATCTGCCCTTTAAGATATAAAGTGACTGAATCAGTCTAAAAGCTGTTTGTTGCCTGGTAGACTGACGGGTAGTCTTTAACTTTGTTAATTTGCTCTGTGGTGTAATTTTTGATAAGGTTTTACAAACCTTATTTACTGCACTTTCATACCTCAACTGTCACAGGGTGAAGTCAGGAATGTAAGAGTAAACAAAACATAAGGGTTTTGGTCAGTAAAATACAGGCAGTTCTTTTTCCTTCACGTAGTCAAATAATTTGTTGTTCATTGCCTGGGTTACAAATAGCTTTTCACAAGCATTTCTGGTTGGAAATATAGTATTTCTTCCCAGTGGCACTATTTTGTTTGACTTGGCGTGCAGGGCATTGTAATTAAGTCTATATATTACTGCTCTGTACAAATGGCAGGTATTTCAAACCAATTGGTTTAGGTTCCTTTCTTGCCCGGCAAATTATTTAAAAATGGATACTCAAGACCTCATACTTTACATTTTCATCAGCCTTATTTGTTTAAACGAGATGAGGAATGCAGTCATAGTCCCCCCACCTACCCAACACAGATACCCTTTTGGATTCTATAACAAATACACTTTTCCCCCCTTTGCTTGTGATTGGTGAATACGTATCAAAGCCTTGTTATCACAGTACACTGTGACACAATGGAAGAGTATCTAGTCATGGTAGCACCTAATTACATTTTCATTACCATAGTGCAAAGTTTTAGTAATGGACATTTTGCTCGCAGAATTGTAGGTTGGGTTTGGATTTAGAAAATGTGAATTCAGTCTTCTGGAATATGTAATACTGGGATGGCGTGCCCCCCAGTGAAAAGTCTATGGGATGTAACATGCCATAACTGGATGAAAAAGAACCTGAGGTATGCCACAATACAATCACAATATAATGGAATTTATATTTGATAGTCTTTCATACAAAATCACAAGACATTTCGCAGTCAATATGCAAATACACATACACAACACCGCTTGCAATATATCATGTAGGTATATCTGGTAGAACACAGGTGAAAGGTATAAAGGTCTGACTAATTAAATATTGAGAAACTAGGAGATTAAAGATGTAGGACTGATGGAGAAGCATAGAAGAAAAAGCTCATCTACCCTAGTGTCAAATTCAGTTCTGGTGCACAGACACAGTTCCACTGAATTTGACCTAGTGAGTAGAGTAAGGAATGGCACAGAGGAAAAAAAATTGGAGTGAAATCGTGGCCTCATTGAAGTCAATGGGAGTTTTACCCTTGGCTTCAGTGGGGGCCATAATTTCACCCCTGTTGTTTGAGGACCAGGCGGAAGAACGAAAGAAGTTGAGGTGAGCAAATCCTTTTTCACTATC